TCACAACTCTAATAATTGTGCTACAGGAGCTTAAGGAAGCGCATATTCCAGAAAGAGCGTATGTTGGGGCATATCGAAGCAGAAAGGGGCAGATGTGTCCACAGCTCAAGCACATTCGTCTATTGGACACTTCAGGCCTCAAAATATGGTCGATAGGACGTGATTTCAGGCTCGCTGCAAGCTCTCCAGGTTTGAATTAATCGCACATGGCTTATATTTGGAGCTGCTTTGACTATAACCCTACCCCTAACCCTAATCCTAACCGATTTGAAAAAAAAAAATGTATGTAAAAAAAAAAACGTGCGCGAACTAAACATAACGCTAATTTCCCTAACCCTAACCCTGACCACATCCAAAAATAATCGGGAGTATAGAAAGGCATTTTAAGCATATTCTCCCTCAGAAAAGGAGCTCCCACAAAAGCATAATGGAGAAAAGGCCTAACAGCAGTCAAGCGGCTTGATTGTTATAGTCATACCCTTGGGGTTCAAAGGGGGCAGGCATTTGAGAAAGGCACATAAGGTGCTGTTTCCATATAAGCCGCTTTGCGTACCCCCTCCCCCCGAGCTCTCGCGTGCTATTTTTGTTTTCTCCGGCACACGCCTGGGGACACGCACACCCAACCAGGATATGCTGCATGTACGCGTACTGGCGGCTCTCCTGGCAGCATCCACCGCGTTGCGAAAAGATACCGTCGCATTCAAGGTCAAATTGCCCCTGCGTTCCTCGCCGTTGCGATCGCCGAGGCCTCCTGGTGCTGCTGCATCACTGGCAGGAGAACAGCAGCATGTTGTTCAACCCAACAGCGGGCGGAGACGGCCGGCAACAAGCATGTCTCTCCTCCGCACCTTCGAAGCGAGCGAGCTCCAGCTCCAGAGGTTTATCGGAGAGCTGGGGTTCGTGGAGATCACCGACTGGTGAGTGGGTGGGGTGTGTGCTTCTGCTCTGTCGCTGTCGATCATCACCGAAGTTTCATGTTGGGGACGATGGCGGGACTGTCAACTTCAATCCGCCCCCCGCTGCACCAAGACACAAGACACCAGCCAGCACAAGGGCACTATTCGGTGGTATATGCATAGGAGGCTCATGGTGTCACAAAGGCCGTGTGTAGCCCTCCTGCTATCCGTTTTGGCACGGTGCAAGCTTGATTTTGAAGTATGCATTCATATCAGCGCACGTCTATTTATTTGTCGGGGATTTCTTGGGGATGAAGGCGGATACGGCTCGTCTAGCCCTGCTCCCTACACATATTTACAGTATGCCTTCGCAGGAATTTTGTTTCCAGGAAATATGCTGCATAAAGCATACAATCGGTGGGAAGTTGGGTTGGGGTTAGGATTAGGATGATAGGGTTTGCATACCCCCTCCCTGTCCTGTTCTATTTCCTAATAATATTGAATTTCCCGCGAAGGCGATCCCAAAATTTTTAGTACCCAAACCCACCGCCGCCTATTGGCTAAAAACATATCCATGCCACGGAGCCCAGATTCTCCGTAGACCGCCTTCTAACATGTGACTATCGTACCTAACACGTGACTATTTATACCATATTGGCCAATGTCCATACGCCCGCCTTCGTGTGCCAGGGAGTACAACCGCCAGACGTCGCCGGTGGACCCTTCGACGCCTTCGAGAACCCTCAACTCCTCGGGCACAACCGCGAGGCTGTTCGAGGCCAGAACCTACGGCAACGCCAAGGTAGTCCTCAAGGAGTTCCTGCCCAAGGGTCTCAAGCTGGCCTACAGGGAGATCGAGGTGGGGTCGGGTGTGGATGTGCGCTGTTCCCGTGCGCTGTGGTTCTCACGTGTTCGTACCCGTCCCCGCCGGCATGTCAGCGTTGACTGGTCTAATGGTTTGATTTCGGCCTCTATAGACCGACGGCAGGGATGTTAGTCTCAAGATAGTGTGTCTAGGGGTGCAAAGAAGGACTTTGGAGCGTTGATTGTACCCGTGCGCGCCAGCGGAGAGGGGGAACACACTGCTCGTTCCTGACAGGTTGGTCGGCCCTTGGTATGTACCTGATGGCTGTTGCACACGTCGCGCTCAAAGTTTACGCTAAGCGATAACCCGGTGCTGGATGGAGAGGGCATGCTTTCGCATGCGGCTTGCGAAAGGAGAGTCCAGCACTAAACTGTCGATACAGAGGTCAATTTCTCCTGCTGCGGTCGCCCCGCAACACGACCTGCATAAACTCACACCTACCGCCGCGAGATTTCAGCCTCTCGGTTAAATTGCTCTCCTATTTCGCCCGTCTGCCCGTACCGCTGCCCCTCTTTCGGGAAGATCAACGACCGGCTGCAGGACGCGTGGGACCAAAAGAACGGCCCTGGCGGGCGCCCCCCCGTGCTCGCCCTGATGGGGAGCCTTGTCGCCGATGAGTCCTTCAAGAGCAGGCGGTTCCTGGAGCAGTGGGTCTCCAAGTGAGTCAAGTCTCCGGCGTGTACGGCGGCGCGCGCGGTAGAGCTCTGCCGTGAGCGCCCTCGCTTCAAAAGCTCTAGGTTTGGTCGAGGCTGGGGGTTGCAGTTCCCAGGGTTTTGCTGCAAATGGTCGTTATCTGGGTTGGAGTGTAGTGGTTCTTAACCCGGCTCACAAATGGTGCTCAAGTTTCAGATAATGAGTTTTTGGAGGCTACATCAATTTGTCGACTGACAAGTTGTTAACAAGTGCTGGCGCTGTCTGTACGCGGGGAAAGGAAAGCAGCGACAGTACTGCTGTAAGTTGTTGTATACCCACCCATCATGCAATACGCCCAGGGCGCTATGAATTGTGGGTTACATGGTCGAGAAAGCAAGGTGGGCTACTCGTGAGGCGGGCGACAGTATTTGTCTGGTTGCGCGTTTTTTTTTTTTTTTTTGCAGGTTTCCGTCGCTGCCGGTGCCGGCGATAGGGAGCGTCTGGCTGGTGTACCGGTGGGAGGGACTGTACACGTTCGCCAGCTTCCCCCCTGCCAAGCAGGAGTCGGAGGTGTGTTGAGACAGCGGGACGGTTGGTCGGCGGTAGAGAGAGAGCGAGAGAGAGAGAGAGAGAGAGCGAGAGAGAGAGAGAGAGAGAGAGAGAGAGAGAGAGTTAGGGAGATTTCTGGAGGGCGGGAGGGAAAAGAAAGAGAAGCAATAGTTCAAGGAAGGAGAATGGTGCTTGGTACGGAGTGGCAATGTTCTACAGACCCTGGCTGTTTTGTTGCTCGTTGGTACCTGAGACGGAACGGGCACCAGCATTGCAGCGGTTGACACTGTCTGTCTTGTGGAGCGGTTTGTCGCGGTGTCATGCCGCGTTTAGTCCCACTTGAAGAGTGGTTCATGTCTCGTCTTAGCATGTCTCGACTTAGCGTGTTCGATTTGACGATACCCTTGTGGAGTACTTTGTCTCGGCGTAAGTACTTCGTTTTCTGTGTTCCCGCTTGAAGCGTCACACTTGCAAACGAAAACGAAATATCACCGCGCTTACCTGTGTACCCGCACCCGAAGGAACATTGCAACGACTCGCCCGCCCCCCCTCCCACGCATCACCACATACGTCCCCCCC